GGGCTGGGGGGAGTTCTGCTGAAAAGGAGGCTAAGGTCTCCAGAGCACAAGAGAGTCCTATTGGCTCTTTGTATGTCCCAGGAGGGCCGCTGGAAACCTTTCATCATCAGGCCCACTCCATCACCCCTCATGAAGCCCCTGCTGGTGTTTGTGAACCCCAAGAGTGGGGGCAACCAGGTAAGTACAACCTTCCACCCACTGAGAGCCTGGGGAGGTGTGGTTGGGTTCATACCCACCTGTCCACAGTTGTTCCCACTGACCATTTTGGGCTTCGGCCCCTACCCTTCTTTCTCAGGGTCCCTGAGAAGGCTCTATCCCATAACCACTCCCCACCCCTTACCATGCCTGGTTTTCACAGTCATATCCTTCTCTCTGTGCCCCCTCATACCCCTGCTTCCCTCATCCTCTCCTCATTACCCCTCAACTCTGTATCCATGCAGGGTGCTAAGATTATCCAGTCTTTCCTCTGGTATCTCAATCCCCGGCAAGTCTTTGACTTGAGCCAGGGAGGACCTAAGGATGCGTAAGTACTTGTCAAGGTTCTCAGGGGGCAGTGGGGACTTGGCCTGGCTCTGGGCCATGACACACATCTCCTGACCCCATCCTTGTCTTCCCAATCCAGGCTGGAAATGTACCGAAAGGTGCACAATTTGCGGATTCTGGCGTGCGGGGGTGATGGCACAGTGAGTTCACTGAGTGGGGTTCATGCCTGATGCACAGATCCCCCTGTTATGCCTGACTCACCTCTTCTCCTGGGCTCTCACCCAGGTTGGCTGGATTCTCTCCACCCTGGACCAGTTGCGCTTAAAACCACCACCCCCTGTGGCCATCCTGCCCCTGGGTACTGGCAATGACCTGGCCCGCACCCTCAACTGGGGCGGGGTAAGCACCCTTGGGAACAGGGTTGCCAGGGAGGAGGGATAACTTCTGACCATAGGAAGGGCTCAGTCTTGCCTTCCTTTCACCAGGGCTACACAGATGAACCTGTATCAAAGATCCTTTCTCATGTAGAGGAGGGGAATGTGGTGCAGCTGGATCGCTGGGACCTCCGAGCTGAACCTAACCCTGAGGCAGGACCTGAGGATAGAGATGAGGGGGCCACTGACAGGGTAGGTCAGGGCCATTGGGCAGGGGGCTCAAGGGTCTGGGGTTCACTGAGACCTGACAAGACTCCACACGCTCACTGATTCTAGGAATACGAGCTAGTCTCTGAAGTTTTCCAAACTCCAGCCTCTTTCTGTCCCAGGAGAATAATGTTATCTACTTCACAAGATGGTTTCTTATTCAGCCACCTGGCACTTGCTTACCAAGAGCCTCCTAATGCCAGGCTCAGTTCTGAGCCCTATGGCAAGAATGAGTCCCTACTCCTGGAGTTCATGCAGTGGGGACAAAGCACTGTGGGAACCTAGTAGGTCCTCAGAGGAGCCTCCCCTAGAAGGGTCAGGCCTCCCTACTGGTTGGGAGAAGCTTTGGCACATTGTTCACTGGGCAGAAAAGCCTCTAAAAGTCAGTATACTGAGAACAGTGGCTGCTAGTCTTGGCTTTGGGAGGAGAGACACTGTGAGGCCTCTTCCCTCATTTCTGAACCTTGCCCTTTTTCTAGCTGCCCCTGGATGTCTTCAACAACTACTTCAGCCTGGGCTTTGATGCCCATGTCACCCTGGAGTTTCATGAGTCTCGAGGTTGGCAACCTCCTGCCGAGGGAGCGTTGAGAGGCCAGGGGAGGCAGGGAGGGTGCAGGAGTGTCCCAAGGAGGATTATTACACCTTGCTCCCATGTCTCCTTCCCCACCCTAACCTGGGAGGGCAGGTTGACTGAATTCCCCTCTCCACCCCTTATTTGTTGTCTCCACCCAGAGGCCAACCCAGAGAAGTTCAACAGCCGCTTTCGGAATAAGATGTTCTATGCCGGAGTGAGTCTGGGGCCAGCCAGCATCTCCTCCTCTAGGTTGACCTGTGTGTCAGGTCACAGGAGCCCTATGGCATGATGAGGGAAGGCCCTTTTCACAAAATGGTGACATCCTTTCTCTCCCACAGACAGCCTTTTCTGACTTCCTGATGGGCAGCTCCAAGGACTTAGCCAAGCACATCCGAGTGGTGGTGAGTAGGACTGGCCAACAAGCAGAATGGAGGGCCCAGCAGGAGGAAGGCCCATGGGCATGTCTGTGCCCCAACATGTCCCTGTTCTTGTGTGTAGTGTGATGGAATGGACCTGACCCCCAAGATTCAGGACCTGAAACCCCAGTGCATCGTTTTCCTGAACATCCCCAGGTGAGGAGGGTGTCCCATCCCTCTACTGGCCCTTCCTGCAGAGGCCATGCCACAGCCCATCCTGTTGCCTCCCCTTAGGTACTGTGCAGGCACCATGCCCTGGGGCCATCCTGGGGAGCACCATGACTTCGAGCCCCAGAGGCATGATGATGGCTACCTTGAGGTCATTGGCTTCACCATGACATCCCTGGTGAGGGGGCCTGGCCCTGCTTTGTACCTACCTTCCCTCAGCTGGCCAGGGTAGAGGGATTACCTAGCTCCTTTGTCTGGCCCAAGGCTCAGTGTTTCCTGTTCTCTGGCTAGACAGTGATGCTCATCCTTTCTCTTTTTTAAAAAATTTTATTTTTTATTTTATGTGTATGAATGTTTTGCCTGCATGTCATGCAGTGCCCACAGAGGAGGGCATTGGATCCTCTGAAACTGGAGTTATAGATGGTTATTAGCCACTATATCAGTGCTGGGAACCAAATGGGTGTCCTCTGGATAAGCAGCAGCCAGTGCTCTTAACTGCTGAGCTATTTCTCCAGCCCCCTTTTTCTTTATGTGTGTGTGGGGGTACTTTCGTTTCCCATTTGATGAGGGAGTCTTCAGTGCCTCTCTCTCCTTCCCTAGCTAGATGAGGTCCTTCTCCCCTCCACTCTGCATTCTGTCTAGGGGTCCCTCTTGCCTCTGGTGCCCTTGTCAGAGTATCTTTGGAAGGAGCAGAGCTTGCCCTACCCACCACCTGACCTGAGGTTCCTGTGCCCACAGGCAGCACTCCAGGTGGGTGGGCACGGCGAGCGGCTGACACAGTGCCGAGAGGTGCTGCTCACTACGGCCAAGGCCATCCCTGTGCAGGTGGACGGTGAGCCCTGCAAGCTTGCAGCCTCACGTATTCGAATCGCCCTGCGTAACCAGGCCACCATGGTGCAGAAGGCCAAGCGCCGGAGTGCTGCCCCATTGCACAGCGAGTAGGTCCCACGCTAGCCATTGTGTGTCATGGGACCTGAGTCTAGGCACCATCCTTTGAGCCTTGGTTTCCCTGCAAAAGGAGGCTAGTGGTCTGGGGATATGGCTCAGTGGTAACATTACGAAGCTGTAGGTTGCCCTGACCAAAAGAAGAAGGGAAAAAGGCAGGGGACTGACAGGGCTTGGAGGTGGGGGGGAGGTAGGATGTCCCTCTCAGCACTTGGTCGGTGCCTAGCTAAGGATTGGTATCCTGGGCAGGACCCTTGCTTAGTCCCCTATCATTGGCCCTGCCTCACAGCCAGCAGCCAGTTCCTGAGCAGCTGCGGATCCAGGTGAGCAGAGTCAGTATGCACGACTATGAGGCCCTACATTATGACAAGGAGCAACTCAAGGAGGCCTGTGAGTGGCAGCAGGGCTGGGGCAGGGAGGAGTAGGAGCTGCTGGGCCCCTGCAGACAAGCAGTGAGGAGAGCCAGCTGCTGAAGTGCTGCTCTGTCCTCCAGCTGTGCCTCTGGGAACTGTGGTGGTCCCTGGAGACAGCGATCTGGAGCTCTGCCGTGCCCACATCGAGAGGCTCCAGCAGGTAATCATTGGGGTACAGGAAAGGTGGGGGGCACCCGAACTCCCTTCCCAGCTCAGCCCAGCTCTGGCCCACCCTGACCCTTGCTTCTGTCTCAATAGGAGTCCGATGGTGCTGGAGCCAAGTCCCTGATGTGCCACACACTGTCCTCTAAGTGGTGTTTCCTGGATGGTAAGTCTGCCTAGAAGGGTTTGTTCCTGGAAATTTTGGGCTCTGTCATGCTGGTCCTCCCTGGGAAAGCCTGGGTTGGGCAGCAGAAAACTCCGGCTGGGACAAGGACCTCCTTCGTCTTCAGCCAGCCATCTCTTCCCAGCTACTACTGCCAGCCGCTTCTACAGGATCGACCGGGCCCAGGTAAGCACTGCAGACCTTCTCCATCTACAGCCAGTCTCTGCACCCCACACTACAGCTCTGCAGGCCTCTCTGTTAGCTGCAGAAGTCAAATGTGCTCCCCGAAGCTTCTTGGCCACAACATACTCACATGCCTGTGGCCATGGAGCACGTGCCCCCACCCCCCTGGAACGGACAAGGATAGTGCCAACAGAAAAGGGAGCTGGCGTACCCAGAAAAGGCTTGCTGGGTGGGTGGAAGGGAGGCCCGGAAAGCACAGTGCTATCCAGGGAAGCAGAAGAAAATAGCTAGGGCTAGATCACCTGGGAAAGACTTGGCAGAGGAAAGTAGTTGCCTGGCTGGTGAGTGCTACACAGAGAGGTCAGAGACTGTGCTTGGGCAAGAATGGAAAGAAAGGAGGTGTGATCAGGGACTACCACTTCCACTCCAGTGCCTGCCTTGCCTCCTAGTATGGCTTCTCCAGGTCTGCTGCTCTTGCCTGCCCTTAAGCCCCTGTCAGGGGGACCTACCTGGAGGGCCATGTGCCTGGTGCTAATCCTCAGTTCTGACTGACCTCCTCACCCACAGGAGCACCTCAACTATGTGACAGAGATCGCCCAGGACGAGATTTATATCCTGGACCCTGAGCTGCTTGGGGCATCGGCCCGGCCTGACCTTCCCACCCCTACCTCCCCTCTCCCTGCCTCCCCTTGCTCCCCTACACCCCGGTGAGTCCTAGACTCCCACCACCACCATCATTCCTCTGGCTTTAAATTGCATCTGCTGGCTTAGAATTTCTGTCTTTACCTACAACCTGAGAACTCAAGAACACTAGACTGTTCCTCCACCTCAGTGCTCCCCACCATCTGCGCCAGCCTCCAGCCACCTCATAGCCTGGTCTCCACACAGTACCACTGAAAAGACAGGCCATTCCCAAACCCAGAACTTTCTTTCTCAGCAGCCCTCCAGTCCCAGACCTCTGTCTCTAATCTGAACCTGGCTGCCTCTAACCCTAGCACCCCTCTCTATCCCTCACACAGTCCAACCCCACTTACCTCTGTTCTTTGAGGCCTCAGGCTTCTTCACACTCAGTCCTTCCCAGAACCACCCCCCATCTCAGCTTGGTTCTCCCCTCTGAGAGGGCTCTTTCCCAGGAATGCCATCTAAAGGTTAGAAGGTATCCTGCACCCTTGCTGCCTGGTCACTCTGCCCTGTTCTGTTTTGATAGCACTTCTGAATTCTTTATTTATTGCTTAATTTGTGTCTCTAGAATGTGAGCTCTGTGAGGGCAAGCTTGCCCCCATCTTGCCCCCTACTGTATCTCCAGTGCCTCACAAAGTGTGTGATGCATTCTTTCTGTTCAAAGAATGAAGGCCACCATGGTTGGTGCCAGGGAGGGTGGCCAGCTGGGCCTAGCTGGGCTGGGCCACATCTCACCCTGCTCTGTTTGCAGGTCACTGCAAGGGGATGCTGCATTGCCTCGAGGTGAGACCTCTTCCTCTAGGGCCCCCACTTTCCTGGTCATGAGAGTTCGACTCAGTGGGGGGCAGGGTTCATACATAGCTGACAAGCACAACCATTGAGTCCCATGTGGTCACAGCACAGCATTTGACACGCATGCCCCAGCAGGTACCCTTCTGTGAACAATGGTGCATTATCACATGAGTGTTCATGCACCAACGCAAGCCCTGGTCTCTGGCCTGAGAGTGATGGGCAGGTATTCTGTGCAGGTGAAGAGCTGGTTGAAGCTGCCAAGAGGAATGACTTCTGCAAGGTACTAGCGCCAGTACTCAGCCTCATCCTGGGGAGTGCAGGGCACTGTCATTCCATCATCTGCTCTTCCCCCCCTGGGTTCTCCATTCCATCTAATCCTGTCCAGGCCACAGTAGGTGTCTTCCTAGTAGTCTCCTAGCCCAGTCAGCCTGGCCCCGGTACTTAGAAGGGGGTGAGTCTTAAAGGAACTGCAGACTCCAAAGTAGGGTTTCTGGGGAGTCCATGACCCCTAGGATAAGAAAAGACTACCATCGTTTCTCATAACACTCCAAAGAAACCCTCAGAAGAGCCTAGGGAATAATGTGTGTGAGCTTGTGCCTGGGTTCAAGCCTGTAAGCCTGCTGGGTGTGCTGGGATATACAGGGTTCCCAGGAGGCCCGCCCTGCTCTGCTCCCCTCCCCCAGCTCCAGGAGCTGCATCAAGCAGGAGGTGACCTCTTGCACCGGGACCAGCAGAGCCGCACACTCCTGCACCATGCGGTCAGTACTGGTAGCAAGGAAGTGGTCCGCTACCTGCTGGACCATGGTGAGTTGTGTTCCTGTGACTGGATGGGAAGGGAAAGAGAAGAGATTGCCAGGCCTCTGACTACCCTTTGTCTCCTGCAGCCCCACCAGAGATCCTTGATGCTGTGGAGGAGAAGTAAGTATTGGAGCATAGGCCCCCTTGTTAACCAGGAAACCACCTTCCTTCCTCAGTACCCTTTGGTCATGGTCACTCAGAGCCTAAGAACCCTTTCTAACCTATTTGGGACACCCCCTTCTCCTATCCCCCCAAACTTCTGCCCTTTCTGGTGGGAGGACACAGATGGGCAGGCCCAGAGGACTGGAAGTATTCACAGCCAGCCCCTGCTCTCTCAGTGGGGAGACCTGTCTACACCAGGCAGCAGCCCTAGGCCATCGAACCATCTGCCACTACATTGTGGAAGCTGGGGCCTCCCTCATGAAGACAGACCAGCAGGTGAGCTGTCAGGCACAACACAAAACACCCTTTCCCAAACTTAGGGGCAGGGCTTAGAAGTTTGAAGCTGTCCTTCAGCCAACAGTCCAGGCCTCTGTGAAACTTGAGCCTGAGGAAGACCTAGTGGCTTGGGTGGTGGTCCCTCCCCCACCAGCAGGGAAGAAGAGTCCTTGCCCTCTCCTAAGACCACCAGGACCCTGGGCTTGTGGTCCTTGCTCTGATCACAACTCAACTCTTGTCCAGGGAGACACTCCCAGGCAGCGAGCTGAGAAGGCTCAGGACACAGAACTGGCAGCCTACCTGGAGAACAGACAGCACTACCAGATGATCCAGCGGGAGGACCAGGAGACAGCTGTGTAGTTCAGAGGTCCATGGAGCAGCCAGGGACACTACCAGAGGACTAGCACCCTCCTTGCCCATCTTACTGCCACATTCCAGTTGGATGGCCACGGGGGGGGGGGGGCCCCCCCCCTGGGAAGGAAACCCCCACCCCCCCCCCACGCGGGCCCCCACACCACAAAGCGCGTTTTGGGGGGGGGGGGGGGGACCCTGCCCTAGGGAAGGAACCCCATGCCACCACCCCCTGAGGAGCCACTCAGACCTAGAGCTGGACTCTGAAGAGCTGGACTCTACCTATCCTCCAGTTTATGGGGAACAGAAAACCTCACCACAGCAGATGGAGGGGCAGGACAGGAGCTCAGCCCTGTCAGGGAGGCCGCCTCAGCAGGAGGTTTTGCAAGCTACCTGGTCCTTTGGAGCTTCTGGAAGCTTCTGGGCACCTAGCCCCCTTCCTCCCTGACCTATCCACCCTGAGCCTCCTGGAAACTTAAAGAGCCTGCTGTATTCACCTCCCCCTTTGCTGCTTGGCACTTACCCCATGACCTTCCCCATGTACCCAGTCAATTTCGTTTTGGACTGTGTGGCCTGGGGTGGGGGATAGGGCTCCCGCGGTGACATGTTTACAGCTGGGTGTGACTCAGTAAAGTGGATTTTTTTTTCCCCTTTTTTGTTTTCTTGTGGAGGTCTCTCAGAGCAGCGAGTGTGCTGGGTTATCCTCTGAGTGGGGGATTGGCCACTGTCCGCCCTGACCCATTATTTGGGTCCTTCCTGGGGTGGGCCTGCCCGGCTCTTGACCTCTGCCCAGCAGCTTGGCCCACTAGGGCCAGGGGCGGAGCTGATTTCCCTTTGCTTCCCGCTTCCCACTGGGGCCATAACAATGAAACTGGAAGAGGTGGGGCGGGGGCCAGGCCTGAATTCTTCGGTCCTTTCGCCTTGTATCCTGGAGCAGTCCCCCTCCCCCAAGCCTGTTCTGGGGGTTCGGGTTGAGGTGAACCTGAGGCCCCAGGGGTGGGCGTTTACTGCTGCCGGAGGCCTGTGTCCTGAGTCTGGAACTTCTCAGCCATTGTCAGCTACAAGTTTTTACCAAACCCAGGCCTGCGGGCTCCTCCTCCCCCAGCCCCCATAGCCTCCCCCTTAAACCTGTCCTGGAAAAACCTCTAGCGCCCTGCCCAACCCCCAACCAGTGAGCAATCTTGGGGTCTCGGGTACCAAGCTCCCCAACACATCAGAGCCCCCTCCCTGCCCTCTGAGGGGGAGCAGGAGGTAAGCACGGCCTTGATGGGCCACGCTGCACTCCCGCCCTCGCGCAGGCCGAGGCCGCGCCTAGCTGGATCTCCGGTGCCCGGGGCCAGTGCAGGCTAGCGGAGCAGAGAGCGGTCTGGCCGGAGGAGACCGATGGAGAAAGGGAACCGGCACAGACAGGAAGGGGGAGGGGCGGGGTGGGATGCTGGAACACCGGAGCCCGCGATGGGCCCTGGGCAGAGAATGCATGAGCTAGACTAGGAGCCCCGGGGCCAGAGACCCACTGAGATCAGAAGGTGAGGGACACCGGAGGGGCAGGGCGACAGTACAAGGACCGAGCAGGGCGGGAGCCAGGAGGCGCGGGAGGCGGGGGTGTGAGGAGAGGGGGCGGGTCCTTCCTCGAAGGTGGGGGGCGGGGAGAGGGCGGGGGCCCATGTGACCGGCTCAGACCGGTTCTGGAGACAAAAGGGGCCGAGGTGGCCGTAGCGGGAAGGGCCGGCGCGGGAGGGAGCGAAGCATCGCGGGCAGCGAGCGAGTGAGCGCGCGGGCAGTGGAGGGCACGCGGCGGCGGTGGCCTCCTCGGTCCAGGCCACCGTCTGTGCAGGCCGCTGCCACCGGGGGCTGAGGCGGGATGCCGGGCGGAGCTGCTTCCCGGGCTAGCGGGAGAGCGGCCCCAAGTCCTCTCTCCGCCGCCCCCTTAGCGGCCCGACCCTTTGGACCTGGAAAAACGGGCTAAGTAGTGGAGGGAGGTTTTTGTACAGTCTCTGGGGAAAGGGACGGGCGACTGACTAACCCGTGTTCTTCCCCCAGGATGCAGCACCGAGGCTTCCTCCTCTTAGCCCTTGTCGCCCTCCTGGCGCTCACCTCCGCGGTGGCCAAAAAGAAAGGTGATGGGATGGAGTGGGATGAGGGCAAAGGGGAAGGCTGAGGCCGGGCAGGTGAGGCCGCAAGATCTAGGAGCTGGCCTCTTGGGTTCCACTTGGAACCCCAGGAAGGCGATCTCCTGGGGAGTCTCCCTGCACTCCGCGTCCTGAACTCCGTTCCCTGCGCATTGTAGACAAGGTGAAGAAGGGCAGCCCAGGGAGCGAGTGCACGGAGTGGACCTGGGGGTCCTGCACCCCCAGCAGCAAGGACTGCGGCATGGGTTTGCGGGAGGGCACTTGCGGGACCCAGACCCAGCGCATCCGATGCAAGGTGCCCTGCAACTGGAAGAAGGAATTTGGAGGTGAGGTGGGGCCTGGGGGCGGGGGCATAGCCTCACTAAAACCTGGGCTGACGGTGGAGAGAGGCCACAACCCTCCCCTCTCTTACCCGGGGCCACTCTTCCATCAGCGGACTGCAAATACAAGTTTGAGAGCTGGGGGGAGTGTGATGTGGGAACAGGCACCAAAGCCCGCCAAGGTACCCTGAAGAAGGTTCGGTACAATGCCCAGTGCCAGGAGACCATCCGCGTGACCAAGCCCTGCAGTCCCAAGACCAAAGCAAAGACCAAAGGTCAGCCAGTGCTGTGGGGTTGGCCCTGAATGCTACTCCTAGAAGTGTTAAATGTGAAAGTTTGGGGATCTGGCCAGTGACTTCTTGACATCTCTATATTGGTTTCTTGTGTGCCGAGCAGTCCCAGAGATGGGCATGGGCAGGGCCACCCGCAGGAGGTACTGAGCCCTCTCTAACTCTAGTAGGGAGGGAGAGCTAAGTGCTTTGTGTGGGTCATCTGGCCTGGGTTCCAGGAAAAGCCTTGTCTTGGTCACCTGAGCTGGGAGGGGGAGGGGTGGAGTTTCCTCTGTCCCTACTAAAGGAAGGACTTTTCAGAGGACCATGCTACCTCACCCACAACCACCATTGAGGCTAACAGGGCAGACATTAGTCTGCCCACTTCCCAGGTGAGGAACCTGGAAATATTATGGGCCTGGATGAAAATAGAAAGTTAAAATCCAGACATGGTGGCTCATGCCTATAATTCTAGTACTTAAGTTCAAGCCTACAGAGAAAGACTGTCCCAGAAACGACCAAAGGGAAATAAAAAGTTGAGGGAGTAAACTGGGCCTTGAATCCCAATGGCCTCTCTATCCCACCCGCGTCCAGGTCAACTGATCAAAGACCACTAGGGGGCAGGGCTTTCCCTCCTTAATGCACACATAGTGTTAGGAGGTGGGTCTCTCCTGGGTCGCCTAACTCATTAATGGATTTCTTGTTTTCCAGCCAAGAAAGGGAAGGGAAAAGACTGAGGCCACAGAGCCTCTGGCCTTACCTGGAGCCTTCGTCTCCCACAGGCCCAAGATAAAACCCATCAGTGCCTTTCATCTTCTTGTTAGCTTTATCAATCATGCCCTGCCTCTGCCCTCTCCCCCCCCCAAAACACACCAAGTGCCCAAAGTGGGGAGGGACAGGAGATTCTGGGAAGCTTGCGCCTCCTCCCAAAGGATTTAATTCCCAGTGTTCTCTTGTGTTCTTCCCCACTCTGATACCTGTTACTAAAAATTAAAAAACAAACTGACTTTTTTTTCCCAATAAAAGCTTCTTTTTAATATATAAAAGCCCCTTCCTGGGGAGTTTGCTGTGGAGCTTTGTTTGGGGTCGGGGGTTGGGGAAAGATGGACTGCATGGACTGGTGGATAATAAGGGATTTGAGGACTTGTGCTCCCCAAAGCTCATGGAGAAAGCAGAACATTGATGAAAATGTCTTCCAGGACCTGCCTCTCAAGCTCTCATTTCTCCCAGGGACCACACAGACAGGGCTGGCTAGGGTTAGAGAAGGGAACTCAGCCTCATCCAGTCAAAGGTCTTTTGGTCTAGCCCACTGCCAAGTGGAAAGGTTCTAGGGACCTTGCCTGCTTCACCTACCACTATCACTGAAACCTGTGGGTCACCAAGTGTCCATTCGCAGCCTGCCCATGCCTTTCTGTTTCCCGTGAGCCCATTCTCCCTCAAAGGTGGAAGGGAACACGGCCCTTCCACTTGTGTGATATGGAGTCGGGGGAGAGTTCTTGACAATAAGACCCGGTACTATTTGACTCAGCCTGGGTTGCCAGCAAGTTCCGGAGTGCGACCTCCCAGCTGCCCCATCCTGATGTGATTGCTTGCCAGGGAAGGGAGGGAGGTGCCTGAGTACTCCAGCTGGCTCCCTACCCAGAGCCTGACTGAGCAGCAGTGCCAGGGAAATTTCTGCCCCTGGAGTGGGATTTGGGGGTAGGGGCTGAGCCTACATGCGGGGTAAAGGGAGGCAGAAAGCACCAATTACAGCAGAATGGGGGATCCCACCCTTCCAAGCCTGGCTCCTTTGCTCCTCCCAAGATGCTCCTGGCCCCTGTCCTCCATTCTAGATCTGCTGATGGTTGGTCTTGACAGTAATATCGTTTCAGCCAGTGTCCCCCAGCTTCCTGAGGCAGGGTAACATGTGGGCCAGGTGGTCCTAGTGCAGACACTCCCTGGGCTGAACCTTTTGGGTGTGAGCAGAGATCTGGTCTCCAAACCCAGCAGAGCCTCTTCTTGGGCCTCACAGTGTCTAGGAGACCTGCTCTCTTCAGCAGATGCAAACACGGAATGGGGCCACCTACTCTCTTCACAGCCAGTGAGCCATGTGGTCCCCGGCACACACTCATGACACCAGCACCTCCTAGGGCACCTGCCTGCCTACCTGGCCGTGCCGATGTTCCGATATTGGCATAACAGCAGGTGCCGGAAGGTCTTTTTGAAAGTGGCATTGCAGAGCGCATAGCAGGCAGGGTTGATGGTACTGTTGACGTAGCAGAGCCAGTAGCCGATGGACCACACTCTCTCGGGGATGCAGCTCTGGCAGAAGGTGTTCACCAGGACCATGACATTGTAGGGTGTCCAGGTGAGGATGAAGGCCAGCAGGATGGCAAAGATGGTCCGCGTCACTTTGCGCTCCCGGGCTGCCATTTGCCTCTTCTTGCGCACCTGGTTGCGAGCAATGCTGGCGAACTTCCGTGCCACATTGGCCGCTGGACGCATGCCAGCTGGTGTGGCAGGCACAATCTCAATGGCTGTCACACATTCACTGCCCGTCTGCTTTGTTACAATCTGAATCTTGGACCATTTGGAGGCTGGGTTGAGGGTCCGTGGCTGCAGGGTAGGGGCAGACAGGGCAGGAGTCGTAGCCTCTGTGGTGGACAGCTCTGTAGGCGGTCGTTCCTTGGTGTTCTGGGTGGCACTACCAGAACTGGACTCATTGGAGGTGTCCTTGTCTGGCACTGGGCGTGGTGGCGGGGGCAGGGCTGGTGGAGGGGCCTCCTCTAGCTTCCCATTATGTAGTTCCTCCCGAGAAGCTCCTCCAGGTGGAGCTTTCTTGATGCTCTGCTTCATCAGGGGGCTCTTAAGGAAAGCCAGAGTTTTTGCCTTCTTCTCCTTGGGGCCCTCAGGTCGATGCTTGTGGACTCGGCTGCGGCTGGCCAGTGAGATGTGAATATACAGCACTGTCATAATAACCACAGGCAGGTAGAAGGCAGCAATGGCTGTACCAAAGGTCACTGCTGGGTTCGACAGGAACTGGATGAAGCACTGGTTATCAGGCACTGTCCTCTTACCCACTACAAACTGCCAGAACAAGATGGCAGGTGCCCAGAGCACAAAAGACAGGACCCAGGCAGCTGCAATCATGAGGCCTGCCATCTTGGTGGTGCGGCGGGCGGGGTAGGTAAGAGGCTTGGTGACGCAGAAGTAGCGGTCAAAGCTGATGATAAGAAGGTTCATGACGGAGGCATTGCTCACCACATAGTCCAGGGCCAGCCACAGGTCACAGACCACGGCACCCAGGGGCCAGTAGCCCTTGATGATGTACAAGGTGTAGAGGTTCATGGAGAATGCACCTATGATGAGATCAGCACATGCCAGGCTGAATAGGAAGTAGTTGTTGACCGTCTGCAACTGCCTATTGACCTTGATGGACAGCATCACCAGGATGTTGCCCACAACAGTCACCAGGCTCAGTGAGCCTGTCACTGTGGCAATGAATACCATCTCCACTGTCTCAAGGTGGCTGGGGGTTGATATGAGCAGGCGCACAGACTGGTTGGCTGAGCTGCCATTGACCGGTGTGAAGTTCGCCATTCTGAACTTCAATACAGGTGGGGAGGGGCTGGAGGAGGAAGGAGACAGAAAATGGGTGAACAGTTGAAGAGGATGGGTGTTATGCAGAGGTAAACTGGAATCACGGTGACAAAAACATCATCCAGGAGACTGTCAGGGCACTCTCTGTCCCACCATTCCAGAGCTTATCCACCCAAAATTTACTGAGGGCCTCCTAAGGCCAAATACTGTTTTCAGAACTGAGATTACAGAAGCAAATGAAACACACACGGCTTCCATCTCAGAGCATATAGTCTAGTTTGTGGGGTGACAGACATGTGAGCAACAACAACAACAACAACAAAACTGTGCTAGAAAGAAAATAAGGCAGAAAGAAGGTAGGAGTGAGTCAGAAGACAGGAGAGGGCTTGTTCCTACTTGGGTGATCATGGGCCTCACCCAGGAGATGATGACAAGGAGGCAATCATGAGAATTGTGATGCATGGTCCACACAAGGGTGAAGGGAAAAGTAAGACCCAGAAGACCAGACTTGAGGCAGGCCCGTGTGGATGGAGCTCAGGGAAGTAAAGGGAACGGGAAGAATAGTTCCAGAGACCTGAAGGTGGGCAGTGAGGAAAGGTATTTTTTTCATTTGTTCAGTGGGTCATGTCCTTCCTCCAACCTCTCTGTCCCTTTTGGGTACTCAGAATCAAACCCAAGACTCTATCACTGAGCTACATCCTCACTAAACCAAATATCACCAAGATAGACTCATTCTCCCATCGCTATGCTGAAGACAACAATACAAAGGTATATATATTAGCAGCTAAAATCTAAGTACCTGGCACTTTCTACACTTTTATAGCGTTAACTCACTGCATCTTAACAACAAACCTAGGTGGCTGATATTTTATTTTTTACTACTTACAAAGGAGGAAACAGGTACAGAGGTGTTAAATAACCTAAGCAAGTTTCCACATTTCCTTGAAGTTCTGTTGTTGGTGGGGTGTATTTGGGGTACAGGGAGGGCAGTCCTATGACTAAGACACTAGGCCTGCTGATTCTAAGGGTGGGGGAGACTACTCAGAGACTAGAGGAGGGGAGGTAGGAGCTGAGCACTGGCAGAAGAAAGAGGGCGAGAACTAGTGGGCTGACATTAGATATTCTTCTTCCCCTCTCCAGCCCTAGGGAATGAATGGGCAGTGCAGGGGCAGCTACGGGCTGTCAGCTCTATCACCCTGAGAAATCAGAAACGTAACAAGCCCATCAGCTGAGAAAGGTCCAACTGGACTTCCCAAGTACCCCACCCCAGAACCCAAGAGATGAGGGGATTACCCCAGAGAGAATCTGCAGCTAGCCCCTGAGTCTGCTCTTCCTCACCTTTACACATTCCCACACAGAGGGTGGCCCACTTGGGGACCCCCAAGGCCCCTCCCCTGAACCTGCCTTCCCTCCCACTAGGCTCCCTTCAGCTCTCCTCCTCCCCTTCCTCTTCCATACATGTGAGGGAGGCCCACGCCCAGTACACTGTGCCAGGGCAGCCGCTCAGCCCAGCCTCCTTCACACCCGCCAACACACAGCCATTCCACATACGCACACGGGCCCCATCTCAGCCACACGCAGGTCATATACGCAGTTCTGTGCGTCTGTGTGTGTGAAAGAGGAAGAAAGGGTGCGGTGCGGCAGCTGGCTGCGGAGGAAGATGCACCAAGTCTGCAGCCTGGGTTCAATAGAGGGCCAACAAGGGTTAGCTGTACATCCTGAGGCAAGCGATCTGCCCTCATACCTAGTTCTCTCATCTGCAACGTAGAAAAGATCCTGTCCCAACACAGCCTCTGAAGAGCAGGGATCCAGCTAGCACCTCAGCTTGCTCTCCAACTAGAAATGGCACTTGGCTGCACACATGTGTCAGGGTGCCCCCAAGCCCGGTCCCAGTCTTCCAGTTCCACCTTTTACAAGACCCTGCCTCCTAGCCTGAGTTCAAGTTCTCTGGTCTAAATCATTGGGTCAAAGGAGGACAGGCTGAGAGGAAGTAATGACAACTCCAAGGTCACACGGGAAGTCAAGGGCAAAGGCCAGGTAGGTTGTTCTTTCCAGAGTCTCCACAGTCCTGTTCAGCTCTGAGGGCATCTAAAATGGAGCCTCAGGTGGCAGCCTCCTGACTAAAGGATTGGGAGATGGGGCATCAAGTACAGAGAAGTTACCTTTCCCCAGGGCACCTGCAGGCAGGGACAGGGGTAGCCAGGCAAGGATCCATTAATGCGCACCAAGAAAACCCTCATTTTATGCCGAGCATGGTGGCGCACGCCTTTAATCCCAGCACTCGGGAGGTAGAAGCAGGCAGATCTCTGAGAGTTCAAGGCCAGCCTGGTCTCCATAGCGAATCCAGGCTACAGGGAGCCCCTGTCTCAAAAAGACCAAAAAAAGAAAAAAAAAAGAAAACCCTCATTTTAGCCTTCTAGGGTAGAACAGTCAGCGGGATAAGATGGTCATGGTGATAGGAAAACATGATAGCTCTTATTTATTGAGTGCTAACATGAGTCACAAACCCTCTCTGGGCTTTTCCTGTATTTTATCAGGTTTAATGGCTACATTAAAGAAAAAGGTAGGTAGGTACATTGGTAGCCTCATTTTACAGATGTAAATGTCCTCTTATAGTGCAGGATCATGCTATTGAGCTTGACATAAGTCATCCAGTTTGTAAATCCTGACCAGGACAGGATTAGAACCAAGAGACACCTCATGATGGCCAAGGTACTAGTGTTCAGCTGATATTCTATGCCCCCCTCCCAGCAGAGAGACTCACCAGGTGAACCTTAGATAAGGAACCCTTACATTCCAGGCAGCTCCCTCACTTGGGTTTCCTGGACAGGTTGACCTTTTGTCCTCAGTGAGGCAGGGCACATCCTTGACAAGTGACCAGATGAATGGTGGGTGGCTTAGTCCTCCTGGGGCCCTGCCAGCTGCAGACAGGAGGTGAAGTTCAGTTTTCTTAACTCAGTCCCAGCTGTCTTCCCTGACCCTTCTGATTCCCTTTCGACATTCTGACAGCAGCACCCTCTGGCACATTTTTCTGGAATCTGGTCTAACAGGGATCTGGAAAGGCCAGCAGCGGTCGCCCTGGGCTGTGCACACCACTAGATGGCAATGTCGGTCCCTGGGTGCTAGCTGTGGACTCCGAGGCCCGGGTGCCTTTCACCAGGTCCACAACTTCTACCGCAATCGGTCACACAGAGAAGCCCTCTGGCGGGGCGTCTCCTGGAAGAGACGAGGAGAAAAGAGGGGGACATCAACATACTCCACCCTCCGCTGCCACCAAGTTTTCCTAGGGTTCGACTACGGATTCTAGGGTAGGAAAATTTAGGGCGTCGGGATTCCACCATCACCCCACAAAGGACCCAGCAAGGAACGTGTGGGTGGGAACGCGAGTAGACACTAGTAGCTGTCTGCATGTGCCAAATGTGTGCACCACCACGCCTGGATACCAGTGCGCCTGTGAGCACGTGAGCATGCCCGGGCCATGTGGACACGTGCATGTGCATGCGTGTGCGTGCCTGGGGTGCTGTGGCCAGGACGATGCACACGACTCAGAAGGCTGTACCTGCGAACTTGTGTACATGAGCAAACGCCAGGAGTGACTGACCAGTCATTCCCACGCCCGTGGTGGGGCGATTGAACATTAAGAGGGTCCGTCAGTAGGCAGCGCCTGAGTCGCACCCGGCCTGTGGGTGGGGAAAGGGTTAAGGCAAGCCCCAAATATGGGCTGCGATGAACCCCTGACTTTCGAACCAATATCTTAGCCTCGGGGCACCTGGTCCTGTCCTCATTCTGAAGGATGCAGCTCGCCGCGGAGTCCCTGCCTTGGACTGACTTCTGTCGAGGGGCGTCTGCGATAGTCGCTCAATAGGGCCTTGAGGGACACCGGGCTCAACTTGAGGTGCCCTACGCGTTGAGAGCGGGGGAGGGGGGGCAGTACAGCCGAATGGGAAGCCTAGTCTAGGCTTGGGTCCGAAGAATGCAGTATTCTTTACTGCGCCTGCATCCGCTGAAGAGGCCCTGTCTAGTCCCATTGGTCAAAACAGGCAGGGATTTCTCTATCCCTGGGCTCAGGCGTACCTCGAGGGCCACCTCGGGTCTTACCCTTGGGGCCAGTCCGGGTAGGCTCCTCCAGGTGTCGGTCCTGGTAGAAGGGACCCAGGATCTCCAGTGCCCCGCCCTCCCAACAACCCCCTAGCACGCAGTTCCAACAGCCTCTGGGCGTGGGCACATCCCTTCCCCTGCCAGGAACAAGACCGGATGGGGTGCTCTGGGCGCCCGTGGAGTGGTTTGGCGGGTACGCTCTCTGTTTTAAAGCGGTCACTCGGGCCCTAGGAAAGCTATGACCCGGGGATCTGTCCCTGGGGTGGAGAGGAAGCTCTGTACTTATGGGGAGGGAGAGGGGCTCAGAGTATTGAGCCCTGACATTGTGCCCGACTCTTCCCCCCAAAGTCTGGAAGGGTGGGGAGGCCTTGAGAATGGATCTGGGCTTTGAGGTTGGGCAACAGCGGGGGTTAGTCCTGGAGAGGGGGAGGGGTACTAGGAGAGAACAGGGGTGTTTTCCGTCGGGGCTCAAGGTCGCTGATGTAGGACTCCATGGGCTAGAGTGGGCTGGCAGCTCCAGGTCCGCCAAGGTGGAGAAGACAGGGATACCAGAGGGAAAAGGGCGCCTTGGGGCTCCAGCGCCCGCGCCCTGCAAAGAGCTGCCAGCGGGAGGCAGTGAGGGAGTGTGGGGTCCTGACCCGACGGCTGCCCGCTCCGGGACTGGGGCTATGGGCGGGAATTCCTGCACCCGCATCTCCTGAATGTCCATCTTTCTTCCGAGGTGCGCCTTTCCGGGACCCGGGCCTTTCTCCCGGCGGGGTCTCCCACTGCGGGGCTCTCCTCAACCCTCTCGCCCTTTGAAGCGGTCTGGGACCCTGTCCCAGCCGAACCCAGTCCTGGAGCCCCTCAAAGGGTCCCGGAGCCCCATATCCTCCCCTTGCAACCAAGACCCCCGCCCCCGCGCCGCTGGGGAGTCACTCACCTGCTGCCTCTGTCCTGCTCCCCTCGCGCCAGACAGACGGCGGGACAGACGAGGGGCCCCGCGAGTCGGCGGAAAGGTATACTGGGCGGTGGGCCCGGGGCGGGGACGGGGTGCCAAGGGGCGGCCCCTGCTCCGCCTGCAGCTCCCGGCGCTGTGGCTCCGACTCGCGCTCACGCTCGCACTTTTCCCCGAGCCGCGTGATGTCACGGGGAAGCAGCCAATCGTGGTGGGTCCGAGCCGCCCGCCCCGGGCCGGTCACCCAGCGGCGACGTGCGGGGGTCACCACCTGGGGCGTCGGACACTCTGGATGCTTGCGCCCCTCGGGGGAGCTGACCCGCAACTCGGGGCTCCAACATCGAGGGCACCGCCCACAGTCTCCAGGGCAGATTAGCCCCGGGCGCTGCCCTCCAGGGAATGGGGGGGGGGGTCCGCGTTGTCATGGGGATGCGGCGCCCCCTCGCGGGCTGGGGAGGAACCAGGCGGTCGGGTCTGGCTTCGCGCCCCGCCTCCGCCCAGACCACGCACCTTGGACCCTGAAGTGTTTTCGCGCCTCTCCGGGCCTCCACCCCTCCACGGTCCTGCTTGCGGTTTAACCGCGGTTTTGAGGGTTTGACCCGAACAGTATGTTGTGTGTGTGTGTGGGGGGGTGTGTTGGAGTCGGTCAACATGGTTCCGTCGGGTCAGAGGGCTGCCTGTTGGCCGCTGGGTAGACGAAAGGAGAGGAGCCATCCGGGCATGGGAAAGCGCAGGAGAGAGGACAGACGAGGGTCTACGGGGCAAAAGAGCTCGTCTCCTTCCATGCCCAGGAAGGGGTGCGCACCCGCTGTTAGACCCAAGATGGGACGAGTCTCTCGTCCAGCCGCTACACGGGGAACGAGTTCACCGCAGCGAGAGGGGAAGCCAGGTGCCCAAGGTCACCCAGGACGGAATCCCCAAGACCCCAAGGGCGAAGCCTCATCTTCAAGATCTCGCGCACAACAGATTTGACTGCAGCCTTGAGACTCTGGGCGCAAAAGTGGGCGGCTTCAGCACCTAGGACAGCTCTACCGTGACCTCCGCCAGGGAGCGTGGTCGTCTCTAGTCTGCTGGGACAGCCCTTGGGGGACCAGTCAGGGTCAGACGCTGCCCTCTGCGCTGGGGCCCCAAGCCCCGTCACCCTGAAGACTCTTTCGTGCCAACAGCTGATTCCTTCTTTTGGAAAAACAACTCAAGCTCAAGTCCTGCCTCTCTTCCTTCCACTCTCCCCGAAGGGCCTGCGGTGGGGGGGGGGGCCGCCGGTGGTAGTAGCGGCGAGGGACAGCGGGGAGGTGGAGAGGTAGAGAAGAGGGGGGTGGGAAGGGGGGAGCTGAGTAAGAGCCGCACGAGAGGTCTTCTGGTGTGGGGTTCTCCATGCTTAAGGGGAGGTGGAGGTCGGGGGCCCCAGGAGGCCCAGGGCTGAGCAGACAGAGTTCAGAACTTGAGGGCTAGAGTTGATGGGTGGGCCAGGGTGAGAAGCCATCTTCCCTTACATGGGTGCTCTGGTCTCCCATGAACCTCATAAAGGAAGATAAACGAAGTGCTATTGCTCTTGCCCAAGGAGGCTCAGTTGGCTCCTATGACAGAATCCTGCACTTGCTCCTTTGCTATATGCCTCCCTGGGGCTCAGGAGGTGAGTGCTCCCAGGAGAAGTGTGTATTTGGGGTGGGGCAGATTGTTAAGTAGTCATATGGGTAAAGAAGACAGGCTTAAGGACTAGAGGCTCTAGAATCCAGAAATGCCTCTGGCTGCTGTCTTGAACTCTTGCAGAGACAGAAAATGCAATGCAGTCTCCACAATCTCTGCTTCCAGCGGCAGTCTTCACCCTACCCCCATCCCAATCCCAGAACCCACATGGGTACCCTGGAAAACTGAACTGGGAACCAGAGGACCTGCTTTAATCTCCCTGTTCTCTTTGAACTAACTGGGACTCTGAAGAATTTATTTCCTAAGGGATTGCAACCTCGTGATGTGTAAGGGGCCCAGCAAAGGCCTACCACTGGGAGGCTCTCCTTGGGTGAAAGCTTCCTAAGGAAAGGTATGACCAGCCAGTCAGCAGAACTGGGTCAGGCAGGATCAAATTTGGACCACCTCATCGCAGGGCCTTCTCCTACCTTTGTTTCCAAAGCAATTACAGAGCATGTCACGGTCCCATTCAGTTTCTCCTAGACTTGACTTTCTGTTACAATGGCTGAGGGGTGTGCCCTGGCTTTACTAGTTAAGTCATGTACTCCAGGTACAAGCAGTAATCACGTCAAGGAATTTTGTCAGGGGAGAGTGTGCACACTTGGCACATTCCTTACAATCAACAATTGGTCTCCACTGTCAAACTGAGGCACGTGCTTCCTTCTTGGTAAAGGTATAGGATGTGGCTAGAGAATAGGTTTTATAGTGGAGCCCCCTTCTTCCATTCTTCAATATTTAGCCCAAATCCTCCCCCTTTTTTAAAAAAGATTTTAAAAATTTTATTATTTTTTTAAAAAATTTATGTGTATGCGTGTATTGCCTGCATGTAGGTAAGTGCACCCGTGTCGTAAAATGCCTGAGGAGGTCAGAAGAGACTGTCAGATCCCCTGGGACTGGAGTTACGGACAGTTGTTAGCTGCCATGTGGGTGCTGGAATTTGAACCCAGGTCTTCTGCAAAATCAACCAGTGTTCTTAACCTCTGAGCCATCTCTCCAGCCCCCTCAAATCCCTTTCTTAAAACAAGACAAGTCTCACAACTCCTGTGCTCAGAGTTAAAATGATTGAGATTATGGGGCTAAAAGTAACTTGAAGTTGCATAGTACAGCATGGCAAGGGTAATGCCACTGCGAGGGAAAGCAAAGCTCAGAAAAGACAAAGGACTCACTCAAGTTCCCACAGCTAGCTGAAATCCACTGATACAATTCACTGACAGACTACAGTGGACTGCAGATAGAGTTCACAATACCATTTCTAGAAAATTTGTGTTCCTACACTGTTTGCTCACCCACTTATCTTTTGGTTTTGTCTCTGCTGGGGCACAATCTGTAATGCTCACCATTCCTACCTCCACTTCCTCTCAGAAGACCTGCCTGTGCCCTGATACATGGTGTCTGGGACATAGCTGAGCATATAAAATAGATACTCATGAAGTTCTGGCTGCCAGCAAATGCCCCAGGGTAACTCGGTTTTCTGGTCTACCTCTTTAAGACTTGGAGCAAATATTTTCCCACTTTCTAACCTGGCTTGACACATCAAGCCAAAACCCAGAGAGGGTAGGTCTTCTAGCTAACAATGGCACAGACAAAACCACAGTCCCCTTCCAGCTGCCCAGAATCTGTTGCTATGGTCCCCAGGAGTGGAGGAATGGGGTTCAGTTTTTGGTCACTTAATCTTCACTCTAGACCCATAGTCCTGAGTAGGAAGCAATTGGAATGAGACTCTCCATCTTTCCTACCTACCCAGCTGCTGCTGTGTAACTACTTCAGCCTGTAATAGGCCCTGGGAAGCAGGTGGTGGAACAGAGAAATTGGCCCTCACCCAGGGGGCTGAGGGTAGGGGCTCAGAGAGGACTCCATTAGAACCCCTGAAATACCCAGGGAAATCTGGCCCAGCCCAGTTTGGTGCCTTCTACACCCCAGTCTCAAGCCCTCTTCCCTCTTTCCCTCTCCATGGAAACAAGCAGAAGCCTGGTGAGGGGCATATCATCATTTTAATGATGTAGATCTTTGGTGTCTCCCTCATTAACAGTAGACTATCCCCTCTCCTCCCACCACAATGTTTCTATGATGAGTGACAAACAGAAAGGAAATCACATTTTCATACTAAAACAAAATGATCAGAGTCTTGATTTCTCCACTAGAAACTATACGTACAGTTCAGGATTCCACATGCAACACCTCAAATCACAGACCAAGACCTCACATTCTGACCTGGAATCTCCTCCCTCCAGCCGTGGGCTGGCTTTGGCCAAGGCTCAGGTAATACTGACACCCAATAGGTGCTGTGCCAAGGGCCTTAGGGGGAGGGAGGAGCTTGGCAGACATGCTGGGGGTGGGCCAGCTTATACCCCCCACTCCTGAGGACCTGTCCACCATACATTGACCCCATCCTGTGTTAGGCAAGCAGGCTGCCCCCTTCACTCCACAGGCATCCGCAAGTTCCCTACACGGAAGTTGGGCCCACCTCCTATTGTCTCTGTGCAGTAAAAGGACGGAGAGAGGCTGGAGCTCTGGAAGGTTCAGAGGTGATGGTGATTTCTGGGGGTCAGGCTGTTCCTCTGTTCCTGGGCTCCTGGTGGCTTTGCCCACCTGACTGGTGAGCAGGGCAGAACTGTCCAACTGTTCTGTCCAGGACTGTGTGGTCTAGATCTGGAAGACTGTTCATTCTTCTGGGGCTCCCGCCCAGGGCTGAGTCCCCTGAGCCAGTGATCCTAGGAGAAAGGGGGGTTCACAGCAGACACCCACTTGTTCCTTCATTCATTCCAGGCCCAGCAGTATGGCCCTCTTGGGTTCCAGGTCCTGGAAAGCTCTAGACCCCCAAGTGAACCTTGCCCCCTTAGACTGCCCCTCACCCACTGGCTCCACGCCCCACCCTCTTGTTCCTCCTGTTCCCTGATGCAGCCATCAGCTCTTCCTTGTGTACAGTTCCCAGGCAGCTGTGAGGTCCGGCTTCTGCTCAGCGGCTCCAAGGGAGGCACCAGTGCCTGCCTTTGTTTCTACCGGTTTCTTGGCTCCCCACTAGGGCCTGTGGCTTCCCCCCTGCTGCTGCCACCATCCTCAGGAAGGTGACTATCACTGGTCACATTGCAGTGCAGGGTTGGTCCCTCAGTACTGGCAAGGGAGACTGGAATGGGGACAGAGGAAGAAGAGGGCAGGGCTGGCTGGGGTGACTCCCTCCCAGAAGTACCAGGCTGGTCCCAGGAGGCTGTCTGGGAGTTTAGGCCTCTCTCTGCCAGTTGCCCGGGTTCTGAGAGTAGTCCCCGAGACGTGGAGGGCTGGGGTGAGGAGGTGCGGGTAGCCCCAGACTCAGTGCCCGTCTGAGAACTGCGGTGAATGCGGTGGCTGACGATAATGTTGTTGCCAAAGCCACCCATGGAGGCCATGGTAGTGCTCTGTTCCCGCTGTACCACGGCTGTCATGCCACCCTCGGCCATTAGTCTCTGGATCCGGCTGAGGGCATCTTCCCCACTGGCAC